TATAACAAGTCTGTAAAACATTTCAAGTATATGGCGCTTAGATAGACTCCAGTGTTTTATTCATCTTTAAAGCCCTGGTCAAACGGCGCATGATAATCGATGATAGTTGATGATAGTTGAAGCCCGCGCTTCCGTTTGACCACCAACTATCATGCACTATCATCGACTGTCACCAACTATCATTCATTTTGAGTTTGTTCAAATTCTTCATGATAGTCGATGATAGTTTGTTTCGTTTGACCACGCGTATGATAGTTCATGATAGTGTTTGGTCAGCTGTTTTCCCGGAAAATTGGCGAGCTCGTTTAAAATGGTCATCAAAGCTCCTCGCGAGGCTCAGCTTTAGCTTCAGAAATTCGTTTTTATACGCAAGATAGTCATGAGAAAGAAAATATTGAAAACCAAGAATCTGGAGAAAGCGTCAACTCGCAGGAATTCGAAGAGAAACCGCCGAAAAAACAGCATTTCACTAAACGTTCAACGGCGAGATGGAGTAATGACCTGATATTACCTCTAATAGACGTACATTCCTCCAAGAAATCGATTACTAGTAAGCAAGCTGCCGCCCCTCTTTCGTCGTAAATTCATACTTCAACAAGTTTGTTTGTCTCACGCGAAGCCATGTTAGTGTTCACATTTTACGCGGAAAGAGCCTGGAACTAGCTGCTTGCGTGCTGGCGGTTAATTATCATCAAGTATCACGAACTTTTTGGGCCGTTTGACCATGCGAATGATAGTTGGTGATAGTTGATGATAGCTGATGATAGTTTGAAGAGAATCAACTATCATCCGCCGTTTGACTAAGGCTTAGCACAGGAGAAGAAACAAATGAAAAGTCAGCCAAATAGACGGTCCCAAATGTCCCGCTTCCCAGCTCTTCTTTAATTTTTACAGAGCTCCACGAGAACTCTGGAAACTCAAATCCACGCGCAAATCAATTTTCGACAGAGGTCTACAATGCATTTGTCAAATTACGGTCTTTTGGCAGCCTGGTTGCTTGTATGTCACGTACACTTTTGTTTGTTCCATGTTTGCCCTAGTAAAATTACCTATTCCCGTAAAACGTTGGAAATCGGTCTTGACCAGCTCCTGTGTATTAAGATGTTGATAATTTTAAAAATAAAAACGCGCCGAATGCATTGTAGAGTTAAATATAAGCACGCGGAATTTTGTTTTTGAACACGAGAGAATGCCGAANAAATAAACAAATAAACAGTCGAACAATGCTATCATGTTTCCATAAATCCATGTTTTACGAATCCATGTTTTACAGATCCAGTCCATATTTTACAATATGCCAAATTAATTCGCTCGAGTTCTCAACCGAAGATGGACATGAAGCCCTTACCAAGAGTTCATAAAACTTGCAAAAAGTGTTCACTTTTCGGGCACAGGTAAGGCAAACAGTTTGAGAGAGATTTGGCAGCTTTGCGAAGTAAAATCCAACATCTCGAGGGCGGTCCGCGACAACATATTGGAATTCTTCTCTCTAACTTGCTTTAAAGATTTTAATAAAGCTTTTGAACCCAGTTCCTGACTTGATTCTTAAGTTATCTCCACAAAAGCGGCAAACTGATGGAATATCTATAATAGGCTTTCTACCTCTCTTGGGTTTTTCTTTGAACTTTTCCTTGTCGTTCGACATTTGCATCCACGAGCAGCAGTGTTTTGACAGTTTGCATGGGTCAGTGCTCTGCTATTTTTAGTATTTTCCCTGCTTCACTGTCGTACGTCTTAAAATGGCGCGTCGTGATTGGATAGTTTTGACAGTTGTTGATTGACATTCAAAACACGATATGCATAATTAATCAGGGGGAGTTTCGAGGAATCCACGGGTTTCATAGCAGGCCCTTCCTTTTCTCTTCCCAGGCCTCTCTCCGCTCGGCTCCCCACCCCCCCCTCCCTCTAGGGCCGCTACGCAGGCTGTTCTGGCAGTTTTGGCAAAGAGTAAACCTTTAACGTGATTGAGCCTCGTTCCCAAGTCTCTCTCACTCCCCAGGGGGCTAGTTGAAGATAAGGCACGAGAACCTGGTGGGAAAATATGGTACATTGTACTGCCCAGGTACTTGGTACTGACCTGAGTATGGTAAGTTGAACGATTGTCGTTTATTTTTTATTCCTTTTTCACCGTTTGTGGTTTCATATCATTTCATATTATGACTTCGTTTACATTTAACCCGTAACCCAACTCTTTATCACATCGTTTCTGTAAAATGTCCTTAAAATGGATTTCTAAAATTATGTTCATTCTTCGTTTCACGTAGCCTGCGAGCAGATCCTTTTTAACCCGTCATCGAATCGAAAAGGGAAAAAGGCTCTGTCGAGATCCTGTTGTTGCTCGTTTGAACATGCGCGGCGGTTGCCTGGAAACTGGTCCTTTTCCAGGCCCCCTTGAACTATTGTGGGCGCAGATTGGGTCATCTGTGTACATGAAAAACAAAGACGTGCGCACCAAAACCGGTTCACTGGAGGCAAAACCGGCTTGACTAGCCCGGACTCTTGGGCTTTCAGCATTTCAAAGCAACAACAGGATGTCGGCAGAGCCTTTTCCCTTGGAGGGTTAAAAAGAAGGAAAGAAGAAGAAAAGAAGAAAAGGCTCTGCTGGCACGGTACGTCTCACGAGGTACTCCTGACCTCGCCAGCGTGACTGGATCGTCATGAAATCCTCCTTACTAGCAAACAAAACATTGCGTGACGAAAAAAAGGTGTGGTTAGCTTTTGCGAGCAAAATAGATTATATGGTCGGCAGTCAGCCACGATTGTGTCGCTAATTGGATATGGCTTGTTTACGGGTTTCAAATGAAACAATGTTAGCTTCTATCAAGTGTTACTGTTTTAAATGAGATAATTTTCAATAAAATTAAATATGCTTAGTGCAGTGAAAAATGCAATCAGTCACAATTTTGCCAAAGTGTACAACACGAGACCACTGATTTAAATACATTTGATAACACAGGTTATCGGAGAAAAAAGAAAATTTGTACTTGAGTCCGAAATAATGCTAAGATCTTACATCCTTAATCCTAGAAATGTAGAAAAATCAACAGACAGTATTCTCCTTCAAGAATTGAAGTTTTAGAAAGAAAGCTTTGTCTTAAACGAAGACCATTACTCAGTACAAAAAAAAAAATACAGTGTACTCATACTTAAGTGATAATCATGTGACCAGGTGCATATTTCTACATCTTACATGTAGCACAAATCCAATAACAGACTTTTGCATTAAAGATCCAGTTCTCAGGGTAAACATCATCTTATTCTGGAGAACAGATTGAGCTCTGACTTGGATTCCTGAAGAAGATACAATGAAATTTAGTTTATGATTACTTACTGCCATGTAAGAAATCATTTCTTGTTGTAAATATGTAGAATTTTATATTAATCTTACTATAATTAGTTAGGAAGTTTCATTTTACTGTTATTTACAAGACCACAACAACTTTGCTGTAATTTTTAATCGTTTTTAAAAAAGGATATTATTATTTATATTTATTGAAAGAAAAGCCCGTTGAATCCAAAAGCAGCACTATAGACAAAAGAGAAATTAGTACACAGTTTTTTTTTGAGACTGGGCACGGTTTCTTTATATTTTTTCTTCTGGAGCCCCTCTCGGTTTCACTATCGTGAACTGATTAAGATTACGATTAAGAGTTTCCTTACAGTTCAATACTACCTTACTGCGTGGACAAAGAGAGAGAGAGGTACAGTGGGTGAAGAGTAGAGTGAGGTACAGTGGGTGAAGAGAGAGAGAGGTACAGTGGGTGGAGAGAGAAAGAGGTACAGTGGGTGAAGAGAGAGAGAGGTACAGTGGGTGAAGAGAGAGGTACAGTGGGTGAAGAGTAGAGTGAGGTACAGTGGGTGAAGAGAGAGAGAGGTACAGTGGGTGAAGAGAGAGGTACAGTGGGTGAAGAGTAGAGTGAGGTACAGTGGGTGAAGAGAGAGAGAGGTACAGTGGGTGAAGAGAGAGGTACAGTGGGTGAAGAGTAGAGTGAGGTACAGTGGGTGAAGAGAGAGAGAGGTACAGTGGGTGAAGAGAGAGGTACAGTGGGTGAAGAGTAGAGTGAGGTACAGTGGGTGAAGAGAGAGAGAG